CCCCAAGCACCAGCTTGTTTTGCTGGTGCCTAGAGCCGGCCCTGCCCTGAGGCCTGATCCTGCTGTCCCTGGGGAAAAGAGAAGACGTCAGTTGAGATGGGCTGGAGCTGTTGTTGCTGCTGCTGCTGTTAAAGTCCGATCGTGTTTATGTAGCAGACACTGCTACGAACAATGGAGGGACTGCCCAAAGCACGTGGCAGGTCAGAGCTGAGCCATGTGGGCTGAGGAGTTTCACTGGCTGCAGATGCAGGGTCTAGGAGTTTGGTTTTGCAGCCTGTGTATGTTGGAGGTAGAAAGCCCTGAGAAGCAGTTGTCAGTGTGACTCTCAGAGGCAGCAGAGAGACAGAACTTCTTGGGCACAGAGCTTGCTGGAGTGGCAAGCGTGGAGATTTATGAGCCAGAAAACTACCTGTTCTTTGTTTGTCCTGTGTTCAGGAAAATAGGACTTTGTGTACATGTTTTGTACATAAACAAGATTACACTGAAGTACAGACCTGAGCAGTAGCATCAATTTCTCCACCCTGCAAGGCCCTGAGTATTGGCCAACTGCTTGGGCCACAGGGACATCGTTATGCACAGTGGGGAGCCCAGCATCCCATGCACTGACACTTCTAGAGACACCTGATTTCAAGCCCAAAGCCCCAAATACCTGAATGATACCAGGCGCCATCAGCACCGCAAAGCTGGCCAGGTAGCGACAGCTGCACCGTGTGTGAGTGACATTGGAGTGAAGGTGCTGGCAGCCCTGGGGGGACCAGACACCATCCTGGCCTGTAGAGTTCCAGTGGACGCAGATGGCCCTATCCAGCAGAGTCTTGTCCTGCAAGGATTTGCAATCACGGATAGAAAGGGTGTTCAGACCATATTAAGCAACAGCAGAGCCTTTAACAGCAAATCAACACAGGGATGAGTTCTGAGCTCATGGATTCACTCCAGGAGGTGGTGATTAGGGTCAAGCAGGAGTTTCTCTCTCTCCACCATGCTCTGCATCGCACAAACAGCTAGACTCATCAGGAAGGATGCTGCTTTGACGGACACATGGGCTGAATTGCTACAGCCAGTCATGTGTCCCTGGGATCCTCTGATGTGTTTGGTGTTTCATAGATCTCAGGGGATGAGAGCCCATGGGACCAGTCCTCAGCTAATTTCAGGCAGCAGAAATAATGGACTGGCATAAAGTACCCTTAAGACCCACATCTTGGCACTCTACTACAATGGTGCCAAACACAGGGTTATTGTTATTATTAATAATACATATTTTTATAGCACCATCAATAATTATTTTTATCCAAGGACCTTAAATGAAGGTCAATTGGATTAACCTGATTTTACAGATGGGGAAACTGAGGAACAGAGCAGTTAAGTAATTTGTCCAAGTTCACCCAGCAAATCCACAGAAGACCCTGGAGTAGAATCCGCATCCCCGGAGTGCCAGTCTGAAATCTTGCTTTTTATATTCCCTACTGCCTGGTAGAGACATACAGGATCCATGCCCCAAAGAGCTTAACACATAAGAAGAGACCAAATGAGGGCTATGGACAAACACCGGGGGGGAGGAAAGGTGATGGGAAGACAGGGTTAATTCATCCAATGGCATCAGCTGAGCTACACCAGGATGAATTTGAGTCTTAGTATTCAGCCCAGAGCGGTTACAAATAGTCATGGCAAGAAATGGGCCCAAGGCGCAGCTTTTGGGGATGGATCCTAAAACTTGGGGGTATTTGGTCCAGGCTTTGGGTCTGGCCCCTCCTCTAGAATTGGGATTGTTCAATGATGGATCATGACCAAGCAAAATTAAATGAACCCAACCCAATGGGAGCCCCCCCCCCCGAAAACCCACTGCAAAGAGAATGAAAACATCCACCTGCTCATAGGTTCCTGGGGATGGGGAGGCCAGGGAGTGGGAGAGAGACTGAGAGGCTGGAGAGGGAGAGAGGGCTGGGTGTGCTGATCGTATCCCAGTCCATGTCAGGCCAGCAGCCCCCCAGGAAACAGAGGAGCCAGGCAGCAGCCTCAGTGGGCCTGTGATACAGTCCAGGGGGTGAGGCAGTGACCTCACAGAAGCCTAGGGCAGCTGGGCAGCACCATGGGATACAGGGATGCAGCAGTGACTGCACAAAGGCCAGTGGCAGGCGGAGCTCTGTGCCTAGCCACAGGCTAAAATAAACCGTGAGTCTAGTGGTGCCCTTCCCCCAGCTCCTGCCGCGCTGTTGGGATACCAGGTGCTTCCATGCCAAGCAGAGGGTATCCCAGGACATGACTTGCCAATGGGATCCTATGACTTGCCCTGCCAAATACATTCCATGACCTGCAGTGCCACGCCAGTGGGATCCCATGGCCAGCCATCCCTGCCATTTCCAGGGGGAGCCGTGGTGAACACTTCATCATATGATACTTCCCCAGTATCCTCCCCCCTCTCTGAGCCTTTCACCACCACCACAGGGCATGAGGCCAGGAAGACAGAGATTCTTGTCTTGAGCTATCACCTGGAGTTGCCACCTGTCCAGGTTTCCTCAGGATCGCCCCCCTTTTGAGGTGGCTGCCTTGGGAGATCTGTAAGGGTGCTCGGTGCACACGGCCAGCTGCCCAGTGGTATGGGCACAGCATCATCCCACGTGTCCTGATTTTTCGTACCTGAGAGGTGGCAAACCCATTACCACCACTCTGGCTGAACTGCTGCAGCATCTAAAGCTGGGCCCAAGTCATGGAGTTCTGATCTAGAGGCGAATCCAGCTCCAAAACTCCCTGAGAGCTCTCAGAGACCCAGGGTCATGGTTTGGGCCTTTATGTCCTTACATACTCTGCAGGGGACCATAACAGACAAGATGGGTTGGTAACGGACTCTCTTTTCCCCAACTCATGCTGTTACATATTGAGGACACACATCGTTGACCCACCTCGAGGTGCTGGAAGGTGAGGTTGATGGGACTGGAAAGCTTCTTCTTCCAGGTGCTGGTGGAGGCGCTCACCACTCTGGAGTTCACGTGAACCTGTTCTGGTCTTGCCTCGCTCCCTGGATTTTCATCCTGCAAAAATCTCCCTCCCAGTAGGGACTCCAGCCCCACGTAGGAGATAAAAGCGACAGCAGCAGAACCTGCAAGCAGCAAAGGGGGGACGGGTGGAACAGCTTAGGGGCAGATGGTAGGGCTGGTTGGGGAGTTTTGTTTTCTTCCTGCAAAAAAATTGTGATGAAAATGACCCTTTTCCCCCCAGCTTCCTTCAATTTTTTGTGTTTTTGTCAAAAAAGGAAAAATTTTCCAACAACAACTGACATTTTTTGCTCAAGATGCCATTTTATCAAAAAAGCCATTTTCTGCAGGGAAAAAAAATGTTTCCAACAGCTTCCAGAAAATGGCTGAACCAACAGGTAAAAATGATTTCCTGGACATGTTGCTTAGGGTAGATAGCACAGAGCCCAGCTCTGCAAGGTGCCCACAAATTTCACTAACTTCAGGGGGACACTCAGCTTGTGGCTATCCTAAACCTCTGAGTTACAGAAGCCAGGAAGGGAAGACAGGGGTTGATTTCTCCAAATTGCCCTGTTTGTTACACTCCCTGTGAAGCTCTGGCATTGGCCACTGTCAGAGACAGGATACTGGGCTAGATGGAACATTGGTCTGATGCAGCACAGCCGTTCTTATGTTAACAGGACTGGGGTCAAATAGAATCCGATTGGACAATATTCACAGACCGTAAGACCAGAAAGGACCATTAGATCTTCTAGTCTGACTTGGCCAGAGAATTTCACCCTGTTATTCCTGTACTGAGCCCAGTCACTTGGGTTTGGCTAAAACATCTCTTCCAGAAACGTAGCCCTCTGGATCTATCAAGAGATGAGAAATCCACCACTTCCCTTGGCAGTTTGTGCCAATGGCTAATTGTCCTCTGTTAAAAATCTGTGCTTTATTTCTAATTTGAATGTGTCCGGCTTTAATGCCCAGCTGTTTGTTCTTGCCAGGCCTTTCTCTGCTAGGTTTAATGGTTTAAAATGGTTTAAAAGCCTCTCCACTGTCTGGGACTGGCTTTTGATCAGGCCCATATGACATTCTTGCCTGACCCTGAGGAATCAGTGAGAGTTGAGGGTGCTGAGCAGGATCAGGGCCCGTTGTCGGTGCATTAACACCGGGGGCAGCGGGAGCCAAGAAATCACTGAGATGCCCATTTAGAAAACTGGCCTATGAGGAAGAATTGTGAATATTTAGTTCAGAGAGAAGGCTGAGAGGGGACCTGATAACAGTCTTTCAATACATACAAGATTGCTATACAGAGGATGGTGATCAATTATTCTCTACGTCCACCGAGGGCAGGACAGGAAGGATTCAGCTTTTGCAGCCAGGGAGCTTCAGGTCAGAAATTAGGAAAATCTGTTTAACTCCAAGGATGGCTCAGCACTGGAACAGGTGACCTAGGGAGGTTGTGGAATCCCCATCATTGGGGGGGTTTAAGAACAGGTTGGACAAACACCTGTCAGGGCTGATCTAGGTATATTTCACCCTGCCTCCGTGTGGAGGGATGGACTAGGTGACCTCTTGAGGTCGCTTCCAGCCCTACATTTCTCTGCTTCTGTGATTTCATTACTAGGGGACTCGCACAGCATGGCTGGTCCCTGCACTACAGGCTGGATTCTGCCCCTTTACTCATATGGGATCAAACTCACTGTTGTCAACCCATTGAAGACAACGGATAGTAAATTGCTCCCCAAGGAGTCCTGTCGACCTCGTGGCGCCATTCACAGAGTAAGGACCAACTTGCCATGGGCAAGTTACTACTCCATGAGGGTGCCAGTTTTATATTCATGAGCCCTGAACTACAAGGCACCGGAGAGGAACGTAGTTATGATTGGTGGGTTGCAGGGATGTCTCCATGGTACCTTCCATGTCAGCGTCAGTGATGGCAGTGCAGTGAATATCCATTCTGTCTTCGTGAGCACGGAACCCAAGTACCTCGCTCTGCAGACTACAGTTCTCATCGGTGAGCTTCGTCTGAATCGCTGAAAGGTGCCAAGAGAAAGGGGCTTGGGTAACTCAGTATTTCTCATGCACATTTATTAGTTGTATTACAGTAGCACCCAGAGGCCCCCAGTTAGGGATCAGGGCCCCACTCTGCTGGGTGTTGAACACTGACAGACATGTAAGAGGAGACAGTCCCTGCCCCAGTGCTCTTACAATCAAGTAACTTCAACGGCAATATCTCTGTTCATGGACCAGCCCCCAAGGGATCCTGTCAAAAAGCTAGTTCCTGTCTTCTCTGGGCAACTCCAGCCTCTAAATCCGTACCTGGATCCAGGGCTGAATGTAGAGCCTCTATAGAATCATAGAATCATGGAAGATCAGGTTTGGAAGGGACCTCAGGAGGTCATCTAGTCCAACCCCCTGCTCAAAGCAGGACCAATCCCCATAACCCTGTACTGAACACCCCAAAAAGCTGGGGGTAAGTGGTTAAAAACCTGGCCCCCAACACCTATGTGAATTTCATGGCTCGGGCCCAGTCTTTACTTCTTACCCATTAGCTTGGTGGTCACAGTCTGGGTTTGGTTCTCCGGAGAGACGAGGGCAGCTGTCACTGCGGCCGACCCCAAACTCTGCAGAAACAGCGTCGCAGCAGAAGCGACTTCCTCCTTGCTTTCGATGCTCCAGAGGGAGCTGTCAGCAAGGACGTGTTCGAAGGATGCCGCTGTCTCCTAGACGGTTCGGGGATCAGAGCCTGCATCATGACTGTTTGGAAAGTCTCCGGCTTTCCCTTGCATTTCAACGGGGGCTACGTTCCCTCTATCCAGCTCCACGCACTTAAGCGTGGAACTCCTGGTGGGAAGCAGTGGCTGTGTGGTGGGTTGCAGCCCACTGATTTCTGTGGCCTTTGGGATCAGGTCCTAGGAGACGATTCAAGTACTTATGGAGCTACCAAATCAGTGAAGGATAGTCCAAAAATCTGTGGGGAAAATCCATTCAGATGGATAGGCAGACAGACAGACTGACAGGGACTGTCCTGTCGAGTGATAGCCACCCCTGTGCAGAAGACCAGAACAAGGCTTGTTTAAGTCTCCTATAAATCCTACAGGATGTAAGTGACACATACGCCTTTTGCTGGCCCTCTGCGCAAGGATAAATTTGATGTCAATGGGAGTTAGGCATTCAATACCTTTGAGGCTCTGGGCCATTGTTCCTAAAGTGGTGTGCTACAAGAGGAGTCTATACAGGCTCAGCCTGTGTCAGTCAGGGAACTACACCAGTCTTGGCAGAGACCTGGGTGTCCCAGTGTTAAAGGTGGGTCTCTCTAACAATGGAACATTTCTGACCTCTAGGGATGTGGTCAAGCTGATGTTCTCACAGGCAGGTGTCAGGAGGCTGAGGGTGGAATTGACCAGCGAACAGAACGAGCTGTTTTTCCTATTATCCAAGTCAATCTAGGAAACCACAAGAGATAAAACACGTTATTAGGGTTCATCCAGGGAGCAAAGGCCAGTCGTGCACATAATCTAGTGTAAATCAATACAGCTGCATGAAAACCAGTGGAGCTACACTGATTTACATCAGCAGAAGGCACAAAATACCTTTAATGTAAGAATTGCATTGCTCATACATTCTATACCATCCCTTCTATCTCATCTCGTCAGGGCAGGAAACCCCTGGGAATTATCATCAATGCTCTTCATTGACACTTAGAATAGGGGATAACAATTCCTAGCTCTTATATAGCACTTTTTATCAATAGATCTCAAAGGAGGTCAGCATCATTCACCTATTTTGCAGAAGGGGAAACTGAGGCACGGGGAGGCGCAGTGACTTGTCCAAGGTCAGCCAGTAGGCTAGTGTCAGAGCCAGAAACAGACCTCAGCTCTTGTGAGTCCCACACTGGCGTCTTATCCATGCGAGTGTCCTCCAGTGCTATTTTCACACCTACGAAACAATGCTAACTCCTTGACATTGCTAACTTACCTGCTGTGATCCATTCAAACACATCTTCACGTAGTCATTTTCTCTCATGAAATCTGATCGACAGTGAAGGGGGATTTCTGTGCAGGGGAAGAACAGGGTGAGACCATTTGTCCTTGTTACGATGTGCAGCACAAATGCAGCTTGATTTTTGGTTTTGTTCACTGCTAACGCTCTGGAGCCAAATTTAGGGTCCCGTGGCCTTAAGTGATGCATAGACCTGTGCTGGCCCTCTGCACGGAGGTGAATTCCACCCTGAATGGAGACCCTTGGATGAAAGACGCTGCAGAAAGACACAGTACTGGTGTGACACTTACCCTCACAGCTGGACTCACTGGTACCAAGGAAAGGCTCTTTTCCAGAGATGGACCTGAACCCGTCTTCACAGATGCAGTGAGAGATGTTACAGGGAACCGCATTGGGGCCACAGTCTACGTCGGGGTCGCGGCCACTCCCGCTATATACATCTTCAAAATCATCAAGACGAAAACCTGGAACAATAAAAAGCCGCCTGTTTCAGTACAAGTGTCAGGTTCTGCTGGCCCTGTCTCTCGGGCACCGGATCAGACTCCGATGGGGAGGAATTGGTGGAGAAGCCGGCAGTGGCAGGGAATCACCCGCAGCACCGGTGATCGGGGACTGCTAGAGCTCATGATATGTGCATCCTAACTGGCTATGTAGCACTACCTAGGACAATTAGAGACTCTTTCCAATGGGCTTTGGATCAGGCCCTCACAGAGTTAAACAGAGGTAGAGGAGACTTGATTAAAAGAGGCAGGCCAGGAGGGAAAGGCATGCATTCAGCTGGGAGATTCCAGGGGGCTTTCAACTGGCGGGAGCTGAGGGGAAGAAAGTTCTTGCAGTGTTAGTAGCCTGGTTCTGGAGCAAGCCAAAGAGGAGGCCAGCAGGAGATGAACAGGAATGAGGAGGGGCTGGAGGAAGATGAGATCTGTGGGGCAGGTTGGGGGAACTCCAGAGAAGGTCTAAAACACAAGGAGCTGAACTCCAGCTGTGGAATTCCCCTGGTGCAGAGGAGCTCCGAGACCAGCTGCCCTTTCACCTGCAGTGCAGGGGGAAGAGAGAGGACATAGGCAGCGTTCTGCTGTCCCTTGCCCCACTGGAGCAAGATTCCTTGCAGAGCTTGGGTGGGCAGAGGGCAATTTTGAGCTGGATCCTGAAAGGAACGGAGAGCCAGTAGGGACGAGCGAGGATAACGGCAACGTGGTCGCAGTTCACTGTGCTGCAGTGTGTTCTGCTCACACCAGGAGCTGGGCATGGAACAGAGGAGGAAGTTGCAGAGGAAGGGGTGTGAAGGCCCGGCTGAAGGTTGCAGCGGAGCTGGACTCAAGATGGGCGGAGCAGAGGGGGCAGGACATGTGCACACACAGATGACGTGGGGGTAGGAGAGTCCAGAGTTAAGGACGATGGCTGGGACATGAGTGGTGGAAGATACTTATGATTAGGGGGAAAGATGTGGGGGAAGCAGCCTATCACCACCCCCTTAAAAGCCCTGGGGAGGAGGTGCCTGATCTCGGTCAGGCTACCAAGCCATCAGAGGATTGGTGGGATCACCAACCGCAAGCAAACACCTCAAAATCATGAGATTGACTGAAAAACGATGAGATTTTTCAAACTAATAAATGTTGGGTTATTTTTATTTGCCTGCTGACACTGGGTCACAATTATTGGGAGTGGACCACATCCACCCTGACTGAATTGGCCTTGTTAACACTGGTTCTTCACTTGTAAGGTAACTTCTCTTCATGTGCCAATATCTATTTATGTCTGTATCTGTAATTTTCACTACAAGGCATGTTTTCTAATCCTTCAATCATTCCGTGGCTCTGTTCTCCTCAGAATATGCACATCCATCAACATCAAAACGCTTTGTGAAATTGGGTCAATTTATTCCAGAATTTTGTTTTGGAAGAAAACTAGAAAAAAAAAGATCCTGGCAATGTCAAAACATTTGACGTTTTCAGAACAAAACATTTTGATTTTTCATTTTGAAATTACTTTTCATGTCAATTTTTAAAAACGTGTTATATATTATTATATATGGTTTCGGGCATGACCTGAGACCAGGGTTCAAATCTCTGCTCTGCCACTGAATTTCCCACGTGACCTTTGGCAACTCACTTAGCCTCTCTCTGCCTCAGTTCCTCATTTGTACGAGACTAGAGTTGAGGTGGCTGGCACTCTGGGTACCAAAGAAACCATCAGAAGTCAGCCCTACCGAAGCTTGGCATTGGAAACAGGAGAAGGTGATATATGCATTAGCTTCTAATACAATACACAATTTTAAAAAGTCAAAATGGAAACAAAACATTTTTGATGGACCCAAAATGTTGTTTTTTTTCTGGAATTTCCTATGTGGAGAATTTCAGAATGATCAGTTTTTGTTCTGATTTGGCACTGAGCCAGAGTTGGAAGTCTCAAAAGCCTTTGCCAACTGGAATTCTTGGGCTCTACACATAGGGACTGCCTACCAAATCCCCAGTATCACTTCAGTGCCAAGAATTGCCTCTTTACCTTGTGTTGGACCCTTTGTAATACCACCAGCTGTTTGCCTGGGCCCCTTTCCCCTCTTATTAAAATGTAATAAGGAACTGAAGGAAATTAAAATTCATACTCACAGTCGCAAGTCAAATGATCACCGCTGAAGGCTGTTGAAAGAAAAAGGATGCAAATAATCTCAGAGTGCATTAAGGTAAATGGCCTGGAAGAGCTGCTAAGAAAAATCCCAGTACACGTTAAGATGCTCCATATATAAAATGTGCAACATGCACATGTTGCGAGTATATGTAACCATCCAGGGGAAGGACATGAAAGGGACAATTGATTCAACTCCCCTTGGACTCAATGGGGCCCTTTCTCATTGATTGCAATGCAAGTTGGGTTGGGCTCCATCCATTGACTTTAAACTGATTAACACCAGCTGAGGATCTGGCCCTTAGTAAAAAGGGCTTTACAAAACTAAGGACCCAAATCTGCCTACAGCTGCTGCTCTATGTACTGTATACGGCCTGATGGAAAGCTCACTGAGGCCAATGGAAAAACTTCCATGGGTTTGGGACTGAGCCCACATGTTAGTCCTACATGGAGTGCTGTTAACTTCAGCTGGTTCTGGAGTGAATAAATATTGGTCAGATCGGGCCCTGGAGTGGTTTTTATTTATGCTGTGCCCATTGTGGTGGTATCTGGGCACACAGCAGAGATTAAATGCTAAAATAATTGCTTCTCACCACAAGTACAGACCAATAGGCACAGGCTAAATCCAGATCAGCTCCCCCATAGATGGGCAAATTAACTCAGGTGATGTACCCAAGTCAGAAAGTTAAAAATAATCCTACCTGATTTGCGGCAGAAAAGAAGAAATCCGAGACCTGCAGTTAAATAATAATCAGATGTTAATGAGGGCAGAGATTGTGAGGGCTTCCCCTTGTTAACCTGGCCCAGAGCAATTGATGGGGCTGGGCCATTAGGTACTAATCAACAAGACCCTTTGTTCTTTAAAGAAAGGTAATGTGTCATTTGAAATGACTGGAAGTCTCATTATCTTCCAACTTTAGCAGGCAAGGGACTCTGCTGTAGACAGCTCCAGGACCACTGGGCTTTTTATTCTATCCACAGTCTCTGTCCTGTACACTATTCCCCGTTCATTTCAAATCTGACCTTGCTTTTCAAACCCACTTACGCCATCCAATTTTCATGTCTTTCTCTTTACTCCCTTCTCCGCTTTGTTCCTTCTCCTCCTCTACTACCAGCCTCCCCGCACTCCCTTTGAACAATCGACTGGTGAAGGAGTCTTCTCCCCTGCAACCTCTGAGGCCTGGAACCGCCTCCCTGCCTCCTTCTGCCTCATGAGTTCTCCATTTGTGTTCAAACCGCACCTGAAAATGCACCTTTTCTCCCTGGCATATACTGTCCCTTTTAGTGTCTCCCTCTCTCTGCTGTTATTTATTACACCACGCCTTTTTATTCTGTGCAGCATTTAAGTAAACGGTGTGTAGGAAAAGAGTGCACAAAAGCTGTGTTGTGTGTTGAAATGAACTTTGGTCCCAGAAAAGCTCTGCTGGGCTGCTGTCTCTAGCTGCGATTCCAGAGGCACTCTGGAGCTGCTCTCTTAGCTTTAGTTCTAGAAAGAAGGGAATGGGGGGGGAAGGAGCTGGTATTGTATTGGAATCCGAATCATGCACAAGCAGGACATCAGTTAAATCGGCCTGATATTCACTAACACAACAGGAGGTGTAAGTTACACAAGCTGTTACAAGGGTGTAATTGGGTCTAGTATAAACTGGTGTAATTGACAAGCTGAGGGGGCTGGAAGACAATGCTATTATGAAACAGATGTTAGTTGCATTGCTTAATGAACTACTGAAAGGTGGTCAGATACTCTGGAGATGAGCACATTATAATCACCTTATAGACTAGAAAAACTCAAATAAAATACATATTATAAATGACCCCATCTTAGAATCTCTTGAATTCATTTATAACCACTTGACAGATAGATTGATAGAGGGATAAAAGACTATGTCTCATATGATGATGCTAGGTAGACAGATAGGCAGATGGACAAATAGACTAAGTCATTATAGACGGATATGTAGATAGAAAGATAGATAGATGTCCCATATGATGACAGACAAATAGATTTTGGTCAAAAGAAGATTTTGGCCCCAGAAACAGACTAATTTTATAATAATCCTAAAATCAAATAATTGAGTGTGATTTAAAAAACAATTTTCACACAATAAAATTCCTGGAGAAAACGACCTTTAAATATTGTCCCACAGATCAGTGAAAATGTTATCCCCTTCCCCAGGCCTCTGGCCCTGGGTGTCGTACTCACCCCAGAAAAAGCACCTGGGTCTGCTCCTCATGGTGTTGCTGGGATGTGTTAATATGTCATCGGTTCCAAAGCATGAAGGAACTTCAAACTGCTGGCACTGGCTTATATAGGGTAGAAATTGCCTCGTTTACTTCCGCAAATCTGGGGCCTTCTTATAGAAACATTCATTATATTAGGGTTACCATATTTGAACTTTCAAAAAAGAGGACACTCGGGGGGGGGGGGTGTAGCCCCGCCCCCTAGCCACTCCCTCCCAATTCCCGCCCCCCTGACTGCCCCCCACAGAACCCCCAACCCATCCAACCCTCCCTGCTCCTTGTCCCCTGATCGCCCCTTCCCGGGACCCCTGCCCCTAATCACCCCCCGGGACCCCACCCCTTATCTAAACCTCCCTTATCTTTGTCCCCAACTGCCCCCTCCTGAGACCCCCCCCACCCTACCTGTCCCCTGACTGTTCTGACTCCTATCCACACCCCTGCCCCCACCAGATCCCCGGGACTCCCACGCCTATCCAACCGCTGCCTGTTCCCTGACTGCCCCCCCCGAACCTCCAACCCATCTAACCCTCCCTGTCCCCCGACTGCCCCAATCCCTCTCCACACCCCTGCCCCCTGACAGGCCACCCCCAGAACCCCTGACCCATCCAACCCTCCCCCTGCTCCCTGTCCCCTGACTGCCCCAATCCCTCTCCACACCCCTGCCCCCTGACAGGTCCCCCCAGAACCCCCACCCCATCCAACCCTCCTGCTCCCTGTTTCTTGACTCGCCCCCAGCGCGGGGGAGGGAGCGGGGCTGGCCAATCAGGGCTGGCTGCCATGGGCAGGGGGTGGCTTTCTGGGCTGTAGCGGCACAAACAGCTCCCGCTCCCGTTTTGCTACCAGCGTGCTGAAGCTGCAGGGGAGGGAGGGGGGAGGGGCTTTTGCTGCCGGAGCGGCCCCAAGTGAGCGGCTCAGTCCGGCACGGCTGCCCTGTCAGCCGCTTTTGGGTCTTTAGATAGCCGTCCGGGGGGAAATCCCGGACATTTTTAGCTTTTTACAAATTCCCCGGCTATTTAAAGACCCAAAAGCCGGACATGTCCGGGGAAACCCGGACGGATGGTAACCCTACATTATATGGAGTCTGACTGCTAATCTCTCTGTACAGTAGCTAGCACTTTATCTATCTCATTGTACAGTAGATCAGTGGGTCTCAACCAGGGGTACATGTACCCATGGGGGTGCGCAGAGGTCGTCCAGGGGGTACATCAACTCATCTAGATATTTGCCTAGTTTTACAACAGGCTACATAAAAAGCACTAGCGAAGTCAGTACAGACTAAAATTTCATACAGACAATGACTTGTTTATACTGCTCTATATACTATACACTGAAATGTAAGTACAATAGTGGATTTATTTTATAATGATATGGTAAAAATGAGAAAGTCAGCCATTTTTCAGTAATAACGTGCTGTGACTCTTTTGTATTTTGGTGTCTGATTTTGTAAGCAAGTAGTTTTTAAGTTAAATGAAACTTGGGGGGCAGTACGCAAGACAAATCAGCCTCCTGAAAGGGGTACAGTCGTCTGGAAAGGTTGAGAGCCACTGCAGTAGATAATAGAGTTTCTTCTCTCGTGTCCACCAGTAGGCTCCAGCTTTTTAAGCTTTTCAAAAACTCTCTGTTGTTTAGTGACCGAGTTTAAAGGAAATCTTTGAATGTTCGAAAGCCGAAGCAAACTGAAAATTGCAGCACAAAATGAAAGGAACAATTTACTTTAATTTTGAATGTTTTCACTGGGGGTGGGGGGCGGAATCATTGCAACTGAACTGTTTTCACAAGGTATTTTGATTTCAATGGAATGTACTTTTCCACGGAAAAGCATTTCGGTGGAATCAGCTCTAATAATGTGCATTTGTGTCCATAAAAGCTATTGTAATGCACAGGCTCAAAAGGGCAGGGCCAAGGTTATGTGAGCAGCCTTAACTTTGGCTTTCCAGAGTTGTAAGCACTTCATTTTGCAACCTGTAACTTCTTGGTACTGTTTTGGAGCCTGTAAAGAGGCCCTAACTGGACATCTTACTATGCCTTTGGCATGGGGAAATCCATAGGTGGCATATAGCTGGTGTCATGCCTCCCTGCCTGGCCTCCCCTCCCTCTGTATTGGAGGTGTGTCTGGAGGCAGAGATGTGGCCAGAGGATGGCTGGAGTCTGGTGGCCCCCAGATACTTTAAGAACCCCCCATGAGCCTATTAACATGGGTGGAAGTTAGAGCAGGCCTGAGGCTGCTCTAACTTACCCTGCAGTTTAGAGCTGTCCCCAGGAACTCCAGGGATCAGGGGAGGGCCAAGATAGCATACTGCCTCCCCAGTTTGGGTCCTGCACTGAGTGCACTTCATTCAGGCCTGAGCATGAAAGTCACTGAGTCTGAGGGCATAGGCGCCAACTCTGTGGGTGCTCCAGGGATGAGCACCCACCGGCAGCCCCCCTATCAGCCCCCATCCTTTCCCCAGCGCTTTCCGCCCGCCGATGGGCCCCGCCGATCAGCCGACCCAAGTTTACAATGCAGTGTAGACATACCCTGACACCATTAATATTGGTTTGGTGGAAGGGTGCGGAAAATGTGTGTGGGGAGAGAGTCTTAAAGCGTAGATGCCTTCAGCTCTTCGCATGCTTCCTCAAAAGATGGTGTCAGCACATTTCAGACCACAAACAAATGTGTTTTATGTGAAAAAGGGAAAGAAATTAGGGGAATTCCTGCTTTGGTTTGGTCGTGAGGTGATCGTCTGGGCAGGCAGGCCCTCGACTTTCCCTCCTGACACACAGGTCTGCCTTTAAGTGAAAAGCCCAGACTGTTGCTCCCTCATTTGTCAAGG